CTGTCCAGCAGTGCCCACTGCTCAGGGCCTTTGCACGTGCGCTCACTGCCACTCCCGCCCACTCCCCTGTGCTGCTGTCCCTGCCCCTCGCAGGCCATGTCACTTCCCCCTGGGAACCTCCTGCCCCCCGCACTGCAGGCCTGAGCCCACACAGCGTGGTGGGTACTCACCCGGAGTCAGCGGCCGCTCCACGGCCCCGCCGCGCGGCAGGTGCTCGTCCTCGGAGAAGCTCGAGTCCTGGTTGGGCTCAAAGTCCTCCTCGGCCGCCATGCTCTCCATCAGCTTGCTCACGGCGCCCCCCTTGCCCCGGTTCTGGGGACGGAGCACGCAGGACAAAGGCTTAGGGAGGCACGCATGGCCTGCCCGGCCGGGGACTCCCCCTGCAAACTTGGGGTCAGGCAGGCAACAGTGGTGTCGGCCATGGATGCCGTGTGGGTCCCAGCTGGGCTCACCCAGGAGGCCGGAGGGAGGACAGAGCGGGCTGCCGCCCACCTGGCGGGGCCTGCACATGCTCAGTGCGGACGCTCGTCACCAAGGCAGGCGCCTCATGCCCTCCTTGGGGAAACTGAGGCAGCCTCTGTACCATGTGCCCTGGATCTGAGGAGCAACCGCCTGGCCGGGCTAGCCAGCGTCTGGGGCAGGCACACCCAGCACCACCCGTCTGTCTGGGTAAGGACACGCAGCCACGCCTGGGGGACCCCTGGGACCAACACGGCTGTGCACCGAGCCTCACCTCCTTCTTCACCTCCTTCCCTTTGGCCTTGGCCTTGCTCCTCTTGGCGGAGGAGGCCGGGGAGCCGGCGTGAGGGGCCCGGGCCTCGGGGGGCAGGACGGGCGTGCGGGGTGGAGGCAGCGCAGCTCCTGGTCCCGCCTCCTTTCCCTTCTTCTTCTGTGGAGGAAGCAACAGGGGCGTCATCGGAGGCGGGAAGGCGAGGGGCGCCCCGGCCTGGCTCCTGGGGGCCCGGCTGTCAGCTCCCACCGCCTTGTTTTATTTTATTGCTGCCGCACAGGGTGGGGCCAGAGCAGGGCACAGCTGTGAGCACACGGAGCACAGCTTATCCTTGTGTCATTATTACCGTATCGCTCTCCACGCGGACTGGAGGCCCACTCTGCTCCCCTGTATATTATCTATTAGATAAAAGCCTAAGTGACCAGCAGACCGGTAGCGATGATGTGCACTGACCACCAGGGGGCAGACACTCAATGCAGGAGCTGCTGAGCTGCGGTGAACTGGCAGCTGTGGTTCTCGGGTGACACACCCAGAGGAGGGAGCCCAATTCTGGGGGGGTGTCACCTAGAACCACCCTCTTGCAATCTGGACCCTTCGGGGGATGTCGGAGAGCTGGTTTCAGCCCGATCCCCACAGGCCAGGCCGAGGGACCACCCCCCCATGCACGAATCCGTGCACTGGGCCTCTAGTTGTTTAAAAAAGAGCACCGAGGTGTGTTGAAGCGCGTCCGTGCGTGAGTCCCTCCACCGGTCCTGTCAAAGCAGGTACCAGTGCCCCGAGGAGCGCGGTGAGCCCTTCCAGAACCTTCCACAAGCACACCCACCCATGTGAGCACGAGGGCTGTGCAGACACAGTACTTTTTTAAACACAGCGGGGTTTTTTAAACACGGATGGAAATTTACCAAAAGCCCCATTTGCAACCCCCGCCAGTGTGCCTGGTAAACAGCGAGGAGCCTCTTTATTTTAACAGCTGCCAACCGGCCAGTGTGGGGCGTCGCAAGCCAAACACCCCGAATGGCGCCAGAGGGGAGACAGGGCTGGCCAGTCTGTGGGCCCCTCCTGGGAGGAGCGGCGGAGAGCGGGCAGCTGCTGCCAGCCGCTTCCAGGAGGCGTGTTACTCTCCACCTGCCCCACTCCACGCCCCCAGCTGGTGAAATGTGCTGGGGCGGGGGGGGTAGCCCTCGTGGTGGACTGGACGTGGCCCAAGGGCACGTGGCTGTGCACAGCTTCCCTGTCAGAGCCAGGAGCTGGGAACAACCTAACGCCCGCCACGGCTCCAGGCCACGGCTCCAGGCCACGGCTCCAGGCCACAGCTCCAGGCCACGGCTCCAGAAATGCTGGCACCCGGGGTGCCGTCCAGCTGTCACAGCGGCGGGGCCCTTCCCAGCAGACGCGTTGTCCGGGAAGCGGACACAGGGCGCAGGAGCGACCAGGGGGCGGCAGGGACGTGGGGGCGGGGTCACTTTGTGCTTTTTGAGAGACACACACACAACAACACAACCCAATCGAAGGACCCGAGCAGGTGGAATATGAAGAAACAGAGAAAGAGAATACTGGGCAATGTTACTATGACAACAGCAGGTGAGTGAAATGCAAAGCAACAGCATTGAAAGGCACAAAACAGGAAACGCTGTAGGGATGGAGGGCATTCGCTTCGCCCCATTTGGGGGACGTATGTACAGGTGTACATACACGTATGTTTTTTTGTCTGATGCACGTTTTAATCCTGGTCACATTTCTGACATCAGAAGGCATAGTGGGGGTCAAGGAGCGTTTTTAACGTGGGGATGTCCCCTCCGCCCTCTAGTGTCTGTTATTAGGCAGTTCGTCTTGGGGAGCACGTCTTTGCGCGCCCGAGGGAAGGGGGGGCGACAGCAAAAAAGTTATCCCTGAGTGAACACTTTTTTTGGTTAATCCTCACTCAAGGATATTTCTCCATTTTTTTAGAGAGAATGGAAAGGAGGGAGGGGGAGGGGAAGAGAGAGAGAGAGAGAGAGAGAGAGAGAAACATTGACATGAGAGAGAGTATCAATTGGTTGCCTCTTGCAGGCACCCTGACCGGGGCGGGGATCGAACCTGCAACCCAGGTACATGCCGTTGACCGGGAATCGAACCCGTAACCCTTCGGTGCGTGGGCTGATGCTCATCACTGAGCAACCCCAGCCACGCCTGCACCTGAGTGGATTTTCACCTTCTCCCTTTTCGTTACCTTCTGTTCTAACAGGTAACACTGGTAACTGTCCCCGTTCCTGGGAGCCTTGCTCTTTAAATGAGAAAAGACTCCGCGTGTGACCGGCTGTGCACACAGAGCAGAGCTCGTCGCTGCGGTGATCGCAGCAGCAAAGACCATCATCCGCCACCTCACGCGGCCGGGAAGGTCGCTGGCGGGAGGTCACGAGAGCCGGGCTGGTCAGATGGTGGATGCGATCCAGCCACTTAGAAACACGCATTTTAAAAAAGCAAAATAAAAGCTCAGCACAGGGAACGCACGGAACAGAATCCACGCCTACAGACAGGAGCCAGAGTCTATCTCAGAGCGGTGTGAGAGCGGCCGCTCCGGGGGGACGGGGGACGGGTCTGATTTCTCCTCCTGATGCCCGTCCCTTCACCTGCTCTGATCCGGACTCTTACTGTTCCCCGGGGACACAGACAGGCGAGCCTGGTCCTCCCCACGACAGAGGCGCCGCCTGGGAGGGCCGGGGAGGTCGTGTGGCTGGGGGTTGGGAGCCCACTCCGGGCTGGACCTGCCACAGCTCAGCTCTGACCGCTGACCACTGACCACTGTGCCCCTGGCAGGTCAGGGCCCCTGCAAGGCGCAGCTGCCATGAGCAACCTGCCGCGGGGTCTGCGAGCTCTCAGTGGCGGTGAAACCCACAGCTGGCCTCCGCCCCAGTTCCCGACACCCGCCCCACATCCCTGGGACCTCCCTGGGTCTCAGGAGCGGGGCTCCGGGGAGGCGACTCTTGGTCCCTCCTTGGGGACAGGAGGGGCTGGCGACTGAGATCGTGATGGGTCACGTCCATGTCATGAGCCTCCATCAAACCCGAGGGCAGGGTCTGGAGAGGGGAGCTTCCGGTGTGAGCACGGGAGGTGCGGGGGGTGCGGGGGGGACGGGGACGGCAGCAGTGGCCTGTCCCCCGACCCCGGCCTGCGTGCCTCTCTGTGGGCTGCTCCTGAGAGGTGTCCTTTATAATAAACGTCCGCACAGTGTTGTCCGAGTCTGAGTCACTGTGTGAGCCACCTGAGGTCCGGGACCCCGGTGTACAGCGCGGGCAGCACAGGCGCCTGTGCCGGCAACTCATCCCCGAGGGGCGATGGGGGCTGAGCCTTCCCCTGTGGGCTCCACGCCGCCCCGGCCTCAGTGTCAGATTTGTGAGGACAGGAAC